TCCTCCTCCGCCCCCTCCCCTCCCCCGCCGCCTCGCCGACTGCTCGGCGGAGCGTCTGAGCCGCCGGGGCCCGGAGCGCAGGCGGCGAGGCCACCGCACCTGCAGCGATCTCGGCCGGCCGGACAGGCACCTCGCCTCCCGCCACCCGACCTCCCTTTCCCCCGCGCCGGGTCTCCCGCGACGCCCGAGCCCCCCGACCCGCCACAATGACCACTTCCCTGCAAGACGGGCAGAGCGCCGCGGGCAGGGCGGCTGCCAGGGACTCGCCGCTGGCCGCCCAGGTGTGCGGCGCTGCCCAGGGGAGGGGCGACGCCCGTGACCTGGCGCCAGCCCCTTGGCTGCACGCGCGAGCGCTCTTGCCCCCTCCGGACGGGCCCCGTGGCTGTGCTGCGGACAGGTAGGCAGCCCTCCGAGGGCGCGGGGGAGTGTCCTGGGTTGGCAGCCGGCGAGGGGGTGAGAAGGCGGTCCTAGGGGGTGAGCCATGTGCCCAGAGCTGGGCCAAGTTTGTGAAAGTCTCTGAAGACAATTCCCTTTAAGCTGGCTTCTCCTGGATCAGCAGGACATTGCGATCTCGCAGAGCCTTATAAATAGCATCACCGTTTCATTGAGAGCTCCTGGTCTCTCGCCTCTATCCATCGGTGTGAACTAGGAGGCCGAGCTCCAGGCTGACCACCCATCTTCCTTCTTTCTTCGTGGCCCTGCATGTTGCAAAGAAACAAACCTTTTTTTTTTTTTTAATTTTACAGCTTTAAAAAATTGTAGCGTAAATGAGTTCACCTCCTACATGAAGTCTTGCAGCGAGCGACCCTGGAGAAGCAAAGCACAGATTGACATTTGAGCAGCCTTGCTGTTCAACACGAAAGAATAGAGGCTTTAAAAGGTTTCCCAATCTCCATAGCATTCAGCACTAAGTGCCTTTAGAGTTAACAATGTTGCACATACTTTAGGAAAGAAAAAGGCTGCAACAATACAAAAATTTATAGTCCTTTATATTCATACATTGAATGAATTGAAATGGTACTTTCCCCCAGATTTTCAAAGTGCTTCAACTTCACTAAACTTAAAATTACTCTGCAGTGGACTAGAGTACCTTTATACTAGCAAGTTCTAGTCACTTACCTCCTCAGAAACAATGCCTTGTGATTTAGTATCTATCAGAACTTGAAATATCAACAGACTGTGTGTGGGCAACATTGTGAATGAAATTTAAAGTGAGATGAACCACAGCTATAATTAATAAACCATAACTTCCAAAAGTGATTAGTAAAATAGCATAGAGATGAATTCACTAAATTTCTATAGACTTTGCCAATTTAATGGATGGATGCATAACAATGTCTAACTCCTCAGGACGATTTTTGCATCAGTTATTATTACAGTATGTATTTCAAGCTTCATGAAAATTATCAAAGAGCTGGAAGTGGGGTTTCCATGCCTGGTGACTTTTAAAGGCCGCAAGCAAAAACAAACAAAAGGATAGGATACTATAGATGATAGATTTATCTCAATGAGCATGTTTCACTTTGACCCACAGAAAGTACATTACAGACCTTGCCTGTCTGTATATTTTATAGGATAGTGTTGTTACAGAGTGGTACATGTTAGCCTTCACTTTTTAATCCTCACAGCAATTACATTTTACATTCTGCTTTATGTAAATTACATCCTATGTTCTCTTGGTGTAGGAGAAAAAAGAAAGATCTTGATGTTCTGGAAATGCCATCTATTCCAAACCCTTTTCCTGAGCTGTGCTGCTCTCCATTTACATCGGTGTTGTCAGCGGGCCTGTTCCCCAAAGCAAATTCAAGAAAAAAACAGGTATGCATTTAAAACTTTTCTAACTCAAAAACTTAGGAGTTCTAAATCCATATAGCCTTTACGATACTCAGTAACTTACAACATTAACAAAGGGTAAGCATGGCCTAATTTACATAACTCTTTTGACAGTACTTTGGCATTATTTTCCTTTAAGGACTCAGTTTTCACAGCTGTGTAATGGGATTGTTAAAACTTATCTGTCAGGCTTTTGGGATGGGTTAAACGAGAGAACATATGTAAAGCACGGAGTCTGAGAGCTATAATTATTCACAGAGCTGGTGGGAAAATTCTATGTGATAATAGATGATCAATTTTAAGTTAAAAATTGGAAGGGGGGGACAGTGGTATTGGGGTGAGAAGACGATTGACTGATTTCTTCTATACCTTTTTTAATCTTTCCCATTTCAACCCAAGCCAACCTCCTTTACTAAAGGAAAGTGATGTAGTGAACCTGTGGTAAAGGTAATTGGAGTTTAGGACTCGACATGCCTTCTTTATTTCAGTGAATTCCTCAGTTTGGAGGCTTCTGGCTGCAGAAGGCAGATGACTTGTAAGTGATGATTAGAAGATAGACTTTATTTTTATGATTTCCTTTCTTTACGAGTTTCTAGTTTAGGATTGACTTAAGCAAAATAGAATTCAAGGAGGAAGCGACTATGGGCAGATCCATCGTGATTATACATTTTGCAAAACAAACAAACAAAAATCAGTGTATCCTAGTATGATCCTATTCTTTATATCCTTCCTCCCGGTTTTGAGTCAACAAAACAAAGAGAGGCTTCAGTAGGAAAATGTACCTTGTTCTTGCAGGAAAGAAGCAATAAATTTAAGGAGTCAGATACTTGCAGTGAGAAGGATAATGAACAGAGAAAACAGTTAATCATTTTCCCCTAACTGTTGTTCCCTTTCTTTTTTTCTGCACTTTTATACCTGTGTGATGCATTCAGTAATGTCTGTTTATCGCTTTAGGAATGGAGGACGTACCCTAGGAAATAGATGAATTCTTGATAACATATAGCAGTAATAAAAATAGTATGGAAGTATTCCATGGAATATTGTGTTTTGATGGAACTCTGGTATAACAAAGCGTGTATACTTTTGGGGGGTGTGGGTTGAAATTTAATTGGAGCATGTGCTTTTTGGATAAGGATAGGAGAAAATGGGAGTAAAAATCCCAGGATCAGAGGTATGTTCTGAATTAGTCTTTGTTGGCAGAGGCAAGTCCTGAACTGGGCGGGACTGTGACTTTGAATGGTGGGGAAGAGACTCTTTTGAGAACATTATTATCAGGGTGAGATTTAAAGTCAGAGCCCAAGGAAAAAGTGCCCTGCTGAAACCTCTGGGCCTTTTGAAAGCTAGACTTTTTGGGATATGAGTGGGGGAGTATGGGTAATAGATTTGACTGTGGGTCAAGGCAGTGGAAAAATTATCCTGGATTGTCTGTGTGACCCAGAATGAGAAAAGAAAATGTCTGATGATGACATAGTAGTCATCTGGGGAGTTTAATAGATTTCCCTATTTATGGAGGGACTGTTGTGTTCCTTGCGCCATCCTAGTCTCTGAGGCACTGAGCTAAGCAAAAATGCCATCTGAAGGGTGTTTAGCAAGGTGGGGCTTTGATTTGGGGTTGGGTTAGGGGTTAGGAATTAGGAGTTGAACAGAGGAAGGGGAATAGGGGGGGATGGGGTGGGGAGGGGGGGCGAGGCCTGGGCTTACTCTCACTTTTGTGAATGGATACCGGGAGAATGCCTGTGTCTAAGAGATGCATCCATGTGGTAGGTTTCTTTTGAATATATATAGAGAGAGGGAGGGAGAGAAAGAGGGAGAGAGAGAGAGAGAATGAGAGAGAGAGAGAGAGAGAGAGAGAGAGAGAGAGAGAGAGAGAGAGAAGAAGTGTTGTATATTTACACTTATTAATGGCAAAAAAGAGAAAAGAGAGTGGGTGTCAATGTCAGGGTCAAGTCAGAGTGTGCCCTAAGTGTTGATCGTCATTATCCTAGAGTAAGACATCTTATCTTGGGGAATGACATTTCTTCAGATCAGGTTTAGGGAATTGGCAAAATAGGAAAAGGGTGCTATGTTACTATTGACTCGGACTGGTTTCCTGCTCAGGCCTTGTGTCTTGTTTCCACAATGACCTTCTCGGCACTGCACCCACACAAACAGCTGTGCTGTTTCAGGAGCAGAGAGCTCTGGCTTGAGTCCTGGAGACCAGTCCCAGAGGGGTGTTTCCACTGGAAAGGGCCCTTTCTGCTGGTCTCCTCCTTCAGCCCAAGAGTAGGGGGTCTCTGAGAAGGCTGTCCCAAAGTTGGGAAGAGGAACGTTCCTTTTTATGTACTTGTATATGTTTTATATTTCCTTTTCCCCACCTAGACTTTGAGTTTACAACATATCCTTTGTTTTTATTCTTTTGTATGTTCAGTTCTTTGGAATGAGTAAGGTTTTGGGAGTAGATGACTCTATGTCAGTAATTTCCCCAAGGTCAATATCTTGGTGACACAGATTACCCTTTTACAAGATGGCATTTCTGGTCCAGTTGTCTATGACCTTTGGTTGAGATGATGTAAATGACAGTATGTAATAGGTACTATTGAATATTATTTATGGCTGAAACATTGTAGGAGGTAATGTCTCTTTTCTTTATGTTCCCTCTTTCATTTGGTTTGTTTAACCATTCCAGTCATTTTAGCAATGCTTTCCTCCCCTGGATAATGGAGGAATTGCATTTGTTATATACAAATAAATGACCACAAAGTTTGAAAGAATCCAGATTAGAAATGTTAAATTTCATGTGGCCTTTCAAAACCACAGTCAAAAATCATTTCACAGGTCATAAATATTTTTTTTACAATTTGTGATGCCTACATAATGCGTGAGTGGTCAAGTGCATTTGAGCCACAGTAGGATATGCTTTATCTCTTTTTGCAAGTAGAATGTTCCAAAGTATACAATACTGTTGGCTTACAGTATTTTCATTTAAAAATGAGAGCTAGAATGAGATAGAATCTGGATTGTTTTACTCCCTCTCCCTCCTAGTGTTTTTGTAATATTGGCCAGAGATATTTCTCAGGCATATTTCTTTGTGTTCACCAATAAAGCAGATTTATAATGTACTTTCCTTTGTATACATGGTCAAGAAAAGTTACTTGCAATTTAAATTTTATATTAAAAGTGATTTACCTTATGCTTTTAGTTCTTAGTTTTTTTGTTTGTTTTTTGTTTTGCTATTTCTGATTGAAATTTACCAGGAACTCATCCCTGAGCAAGTATTTGAAGAAGGGGAAAGAATAAGAGATCTTTGGCCTTTACAGCAGAACCAGTTCTTGTCTTGAGTTTGTCAACCCCCAGATAATATTTTTGCTTGGATGCAGCTTGTATAGTAGCTCTGGTTAATTACTTCCCGGGACTATGTAGTATAGCTAATTCAAAATAAAGCTTCTGAAGATTTTAAAGATAAAAAGACACTATGAAAAACTGTCATGGAATGTTCGAGTTGAAACAGATCTTTGAGATCGTTAGTTAAATGCTCTTTCACAGATGAGGCTAAGAAATGCTGTGTCTGCTAGTGGCATAGTTAGGACCGAAATCAGGATTTTTTTGAGGCTTTGACAGTCATATTTTAGTAATGTACAATTTCCAAAGAAATTGAGAACCGTAAGAGTAGTAATAAGTAATAAGTAACAAGTAATAAGCTTATATCAGCGTTGTTAGTTATATAATATAAGAGCAAGGGTGACAAATACTGTTTGTGAATATTCATCTAAGGACCTGGAAACCTCTTTTTCATCCCCCTTTGTAAGTATAACTGTCTCTTTGTGTTTTTTCCTCTAGATTTCTTTTCCATCTTCTCCCTAACATTGATAGGAAAAAATTATCAAATAATTGGTTATACCACCAAATAAGATTTATTAGTATTACTAATAAGTAGCTTTTGTATGTAGTTTGCAGTCCACAGGATGTTATCTCACAAGCAAACACAAGTGGGTCTGGCATCCACATTTGAAACTTTAAAAAGGAAGTATGAAAGCTAGAAGTGATTTGCCTGTGTTTCCACAGTTTAAATGAAGGGAGATCAAAAAGATGATCATGGCTCACTGTGCTTTGTCCCTCACTGCACTGTTTCTCATCTATTCTGTATTGAATTAAGTCTTTTTATTATTTCAGAAAAATAAAAAATATCTTCCCAATAATTAAGAAATTACTTTTCCTTATGCTCTGCTTTGGAATTTTTTTCATCTCACATGTCAGGAACTATAAAAAGATAAGTTCATCTGTGGCTCCAAATTAAAGGGCCTGTGATATCAATCTTTTGTGATGTCAGTAATTACTTCCATTTGTATAGTGCTAACCTGCATGTGTAGCACATCAGGAATCTTGTGTGGTTGCTCATTAACTAAACTCTCATGTACTCATTTCTACAGTATACACAATACCAAGCAACAAACTGTACCTCCATGTTCCTATTTTCCAAATTTGGCAGTTACCAAGATTTTGCCTCATTTACTTCATCTATTCCTTTTTAAAATTTTTATTTGTTGAAGTATTTTAAAGTAAATTCTGTATATCCTGTTTTTGTATCCTTACCTAAATTTTATATGAATCTTTGAAAAATACATTTTTTTAACCAAAATGCCGTTATTCCCTAACAACAATATTAATTTCTTGGTATCATTTAAAACCATTCATAATCAAATTTTCTCAGTTGGAATGATACATGAAATCCTCTAATTACAAACTAGTTATATTTCAAAAGTCTTTAAATTAGTTCTTTGGAAGTTTAAGTTCATTTTCATATGAAACAACATCATAAATTGTATGTAGGTACCCCCCAAGCCATTTTACAAAAATCACATTTAATGTGAAATGAAATGCAAATACCATGTATATACAGAAAGAATAAAAGAAACAATACTTGCTCCTATTAGAGTTTCAAACAAATATCTTTCCAACAGTAATTGCTACTTTTGAATGTTGGCACTCGGTGAATATTATTTTTCTTGGAGAGGAATTTG